GGGGGCTGCAGTGGGGCTGCGTGCTGTGGGGCGGGGGGGTCAGGTGCTATGGGAAGGGGTGCTGTGGGACCTGGGCGGGGGGCTGAAGGTGCTGTCAGACCCAGAGCTGGGTGGGGAGATGGGGGCTGCCGTAGGTCCTTGTCCCGTGGAGAGGGAGCTGTGGGGCCCGGTTCTGTGGGGCGGCAGGCAGCTACAGTGGTGCCGTGGAGCTGGGGGGGGAGCCACGCAGTGGAAGGGTGGTTGTACAAGGTGTGTGAACCCCCCGTGTGCCCCACCTTTGCAGTGGGGTGAGGACCAGTGCAGTGAAGCTCTGATGTGTGGGACGTGGGACCTGCTCCTTGCAGGAGAGGACAGGGGGGAGAGTTATGGGCCCTGCAGCACATCAAGGTGTGTCCACCTGCAAACTGCACCACCCATCCTTTTCGCAGCAGGGGCGACAGTGCTGTGTGTGATGCTGTGGGGTACAGTGTCCAGCACAATGTGGTGCAAGTGTGACCGTGTGCCAGGTGGGCACCCCTAGGCTGGTTGTTCCCCCAGGGGAGGACCGTGCAGTGGGCACCACGTGGGTGTGATTGGGAGTGATGCTGTGTGCCTGTCCTCCCCACGCCTGGGGTTGGGGGGGCAGTGATGTGGACAAGGGGATGAATGTGGCACATCACTGGCACGCAGCAAGGACAGCACCCTGCCGGGTTACGCTGTGAAGGAGCCATGGAGGAGGGAGTGCTGGGTGTGTGCACTTCCATATCCTGGCGGGGGCATGGCCAGCCCAGGGATTCCCCTCACATTTAGCTCAGGACCAAATTGTTCCTGCCACATGGCTGCTCCCTGCACAGTCAGACACACAGAAATGTGCCAGGCGTTGTCCCCATCACTTTGTGGGAGCGTGGCAGTCTGTGTCTTGTTCCAAGCACTGGAAACCTCTCAAGGAAGCAGCTGTGAGTGCAAACAAGCTCTGCCGTGGCAGAGGATCCTTAGCACAGGGGAACACTGGATTGTGGGTTTATGTAGATGGGGAGGTGTTAGCCTTTTTTTGGTATTCTCCAAGACCAGGAGTGAACAAAACCCTCTGTTTTGTTCTTCTTCTAGGATCCATTGCATTGAGCCATGTGGCAGTTGTCCTTCCAGGGGGATTCATGGGGAGCCATTTTATAAGGGCATGTCGTGATAGGACAAGGGGTTACGGCTTTAAAATGGAAGAGGGGAGATTCAGGTTAGACATTAGAGGAAGATTTTTTACAATGAGAACAATCAGCCATTGGTATGATCTCCATCTTGTCTAGACTGTGCTTCCACCAAGAAAGATTGGACCAGATGATCCTTGAGGTCCCTTCCAATGTGAGATTCTGTCATGCATTCAGGGAGGAAGTAGGTGATGTGCTGTCTTCTCTAGCTGGGTGAGGCTGTCTGCCTGGGTCTGATCTCCTGGAGCAGTCTGTGAGGGCAGGAATGGTCAGGGCTGGCTCATGCTCTCCTGTATGCTTAGAGCTCATAAGCTGGAGATAAATGGACTTGGGAGAGTGGGTTTGACCAATGTGCTGGGTTGTGTGAGGTGTTCCATGGAAGACAGATTTTGTGGGGATTCGTCAGTAAATACTAAGTGCGTTTGGAGAGGTAGTGAAAGGTAGTGGGTTTGTGTGGGTGCTGGAAGAAGATGAGCAGAACACGCCCAGCTTTGAGCCAGGCCTCCCAAATTAGCGAATTTTGTTCCTATAATGACAGTGCTTTTGCTTGAAGAGAGAGGCTGTGTGTATCCAGCCTTGGAGGGATTTGTAGTGTTGCTGCCTTTCCTCCCAGTGCCTGTGCAGTGAAAATGGGTCTCCAGTTGAACTTGGGAGGGTCCTGACAGCTGCAGCAACCTTCTCTTTTGTGTAAGAGGCACCAAAGACCCAGGTCACAGTCCTGGTGGAAACACCGCTGTTGCAATGAAATCTATGAGCAGGAGCTT